TTCAAAAGCTGCTTTTTCAAGTATTCAATTTTGTATCATGGATAATTCCCAGGTGACAATAGCAAGATGGCTTCCCAGAGACACCTGCTGAGCCTCTCCTTAAAGGATCAATATAAATGTGTTTACATGCTACACAATCAGAAAAGAGACTAAGACTGTACAAAGCAGCTGCTGGGGTAGGGTGGTGGGAAGGTAAGACACATGTTACATCAGAAATGGGAGGGAAGGTTACAGGACTTGTGTGTGGGAATCACGGATCCAAGAGACTACAAGGTAGAGGAGACAAGCCAGGAGAATAGTGGACTAAAACAGACCTTGTTTGAAAATGCCTAAAATTTTGTGTGCTAATTTTAAAAATAAAAATAATTAAGAAACAAAACAAAGAGTCCACAATTGCTATCTCACTGGAGTGTTTGAGGAAGAGGACCACAGTATAATAGAGCTGTGGTGTAGACGCAACAGAGCGTGGAGGTTCAGGGTGGGCCCATTAAGGAGTCAATAAAACATACAGTATCTACCGTTCCATCTCCCCAGTCAAGAGCAACTGTGTACCAGAGGTTACTTAGTGCAGTGAGGAATGTGCATGTGGGAAGCCCCAGCAGTTCCCACTAATGGATGGGTATGTGAAATATTTGCGGTTAGCTACAACTGAAGACTTCACAGGTACAGACAAGTTGAGGGGGTTTGTGAAAGGACCAAGAGCACTGTGTTGTGTGAGGAGAGCCTAACCACACTGTACTGTCTTTAACCCAGGTTCCTGCTTCACAATGCCTTTTAGAAAACCCATACATACAGTCTCTCAAAGTGAGTGGACAAGCCATGAATCTTCTGCCTTGACTACCTTCCTGTGACCTAGGAACCACTGAATCCCTTATGAAGTGGCCAAGAAGCCTTATCCACACTCCTGAAGCAGTTAGTTGTTCCTTCCCAGCCACTTGTGGCCTGGGGAATCATTTAAACAGACCATCCTAAGCAATAGGACCAACTGAGGCTTGTAAAGGCACTTGTGAAGTTTGTAGACATTGATCATCATCCCACCTTGGCCTAATGTGGAGTCCTACTCCTGTTTGGCCCCAAGACACTGTTAACTGATCTATTCCCAAGGCTAAAATGTCTCTCAGATGCAGGTAGGTCTTCAGAGCAATCAGATGCCAAGGTCGTTCTATCTCCATTGCCATGCTAGCTGCAGCTTGCTCAACCCGGCCCATCAAAACATCTCCACCCACAAGAAACCCACAGAAATGGATAAGAATCTTGCACCTGTATCCACAAATGACAGTCCGACAGCTGCCAGTGAATCCATCACATCTAAGATAGCTACAGTTCAGCTGACAAACCCCACAATGGTCTGTAGCCTAAGCCACTAAGACAGCTGCACACATCATCAGTACTGACACTAGCCTTAGGAATGTAATCTAACAGTTTAGCAGGGGCAGAAGGATAAAAAGGCAGAATCTGTCATACCATGTTTGTCATGCTTGTGCCTGCCAGAGCCCTTCACCTTCTGTCCCTTTTCACCCCAAGTTTGTGAGCACAGACAAAATAGAGGAAGATTGTCTCAAGAAGAAAAATGAGGGGAAAAGATGGATGGATGGGTAGATAGATAGATAGATAGATAGATAGATAGATAGATAGATAGATAGATAAAGATAGAGACAGAGAGACAGACAGACAAGGTGGGGAGAGAGTGTGTGTTACATAGGGCCTATGAGACAGGAGCTTAGAAAGGTCTTTTACCAGGGAAACTAAAGTTCCCTTGTAGGATTTCATAGTCTGACTAATGCAAGACTTTTATAACAGACTCAGAAGAAAGCTTATGGACAATTTTAGTTTGGGAGATAGATAAATATGGTACAGGTTAGGTGAGAATCCCAAACATTACCAGGAGGAAGATGGAGGAAAAGTCTTCCTTTTAAATGAGGCATGGAACAGAAACAGAGGGACATTTAAGGAAGGCAGAAGCATTCCTGAGAATGGAAGCAGGCTAATGACCGGAGGAAAGAGACCCAAAGCATCAGGTCCTGAGATATGCAGTCTTTAATGACCCTACTTTTATATTTCATGGGGTGGGGTGGAGCATGCCCTGTTACGTGACGACAGGTAAGCATTTCTAGTCTTCCTCTGCAAGCTGACTTCTTTCACGTTAATCTTCATGTAGCTTTCTGCAATTCCTAGTCTCCTTGTCACCCACTCTATGTCTGTCTGCCTCTTTCCCTCCATTCTTTCCAAGATGAAATGGGGTAATGTACTTAAGTGATACACCATCACCAAACTGTTCTGCCAGGGAAAGCAGAGACTATTCAGGAACATTACATTTTCCAACCCTGAGTATTCTCCTCCCCTCCACTCACAATCCTGACAACCACTCCATTGTGAGCAGTGAATGGGACCTGACAGAGACTGACAGACACAAACATTCTCAGAACTCTGTGTCATTATTAGAAAAGTAGCAGGGTCCTAGTGTCATTGTGTCCAAGCAATTGACAACAAAGGCAAATCGAATTATGAGTGCACCCATGCTCCCAGCACTTCGAATACTGAGAGTGTGTGGGAAATGTGGTCACCAGCACACTACAGAGAAGGCTGTAGAAAAAGGAGGGCATAATCCTGGTTGCAGCCCATGCCAAGGATCTGAGTACTACTGTGGCTAGCCTATTCTTCCACAGGACCTAAACCAGCAGGAGAAACATTTTGGTCCCACTGGTTTTGAATTATATAAAGTCTAATAGCCAACTTCTATTTTTTGTGGAGTCAGCTACAAAAAAATACCAATGGAGAAAATACATATATCTTAATCAAGAAGAAGTGCTGACTGATATGTTTCATTCTGCTTCATTTCATATTTCAAATTTTCTTAATTTTAACTTTTGTATTTTAATTGGCTTTCAAAACACATTTTGCTATTACTTGTCAAGCCTCCAGCTCATATGTTTTCTTCTAATTCCTAATTTACTCCCCATTTACATTTCCCAATTACTTCCTTTATTGCTTAATTATTAATAATCGTGGCTTTAAAAATCCTTACATTTATGCTAATAGTATTCTCAATGGTTTTCAAATTTATTGGAGGCATTGTTGAACCACAGAAAACTTCATTTTAATAACAAGCATGTTGTCAAGTCATTATTTTTGCTACTCCCCATTTGTCTGTTTGCTTTGTTTGTTTTTTTAATTGACCTGTTCGTTTTCTATGAAGAAAAAGGAAGCCTAGAATTGGATAGGTATGCAGGTTTGGAAGATCTGGAAGGTGATAAGGGAGAGAAAACCCTGATCAGAATAAACTGAATGAAAAAACAATTCATTTTTTTAAAAAGGGCCATTGCTTTTTAGAAGATTAATTTGAAAAATGACTTTTTCACATATTTAAAAAACATGAAATACAAACATATTGTTGGAAATACTAGGTGGGTGGGTTCAGAATAATGGGCAGGTGTTTGCTAAAAGGCTTAGATGCCATCAGATAGCATTCTTAGTCTTTGAATTTGTGGAAGCTAGCACAGTGTTTATTTATTTTAAAAATTTACCTAATAATCATAAAGAGTTCAGCTCACACACAGAGATGGGTTAGACATAGCTATTAAGAGGTAGCCCAAGGTATTTGGTTCCCAATCTATAAACCCTTCTAGCTCCCCACAGTCATCAACATTTTAATCTGTCAGGCTAACATGAGTGTAACGTTCTTTTCCAGGAACTTCGCCTCATAAGTAAAACACATACCCCTAAGGGAAGATTTAAGATGCTGATGAGAGATGATACTTGAGTTGTGTGTTTGAGAATGACTGCACTGTGCAAATGAGACCCTTAGTCTCCAAGATGCAAGTGAACCCCAGTGCTCATGTAATGTAACATAAAAATCTCAACATGGTGCCATGTGAGGTACTCAACTGCCTCCACTCTGGCACAGTTCCTCCTTTGGAAGTGTATTCTTCCTTATGAACTCTGTTCCTGCTACTGATGTGTGTCTGCTCAGCTCTTTGCTTGGGAACACAAGTACCTGGAACCCATTTGGAAGTACTCCTGAACCACAATGTCTATCAATATCTACACAATGGACTGAAATTTTAATCTGAATCTGAGGTTAGCATGCTCAAGATGAATAGAAAACTGGGAGACAGAAATCAGAAGTGTGCCTGGGGAAAATTAATGAGTGTTTTCTAGCTCAAACTTCCATCTTGAGGAGGAGGCCTCAGGGATATGAACAGTTTTTATGAAACACAGAAGTGAAAACGTGGATAGGAAATCCCAGCATTGAAAAGGGTCTTGTTCTGTAATATTGTTTGAAGATGTGCCACATTCATTTATGCTGTGAAGCTGTGTTACTTTGCCAGCCTAAAATACCTGGTTGGTCTAATAAAGAGATGAATGGCTAATAACTGGGTAGGAGAAAGGATAAGTGGGGTTGACAGGCAGAGAATAAATAGAAGGAGAAAAACGGAAGAGGAAGGAGTGAGAAAAGGAGAAGGAGAGGAGGATATCAGGGTCAGAGTCCAGCCACCTAGCCACAGAACTGGCCACAGAATAGGAAGGAAAGAAAGATATGTAGACTAGAGAAAGTAAAAGCCCAGAGGCGAAACATAGAAGAGAAACGGGTTAATTTAAGTTCAGAAAAGCAGGCTAGAAATAAGCCAAGTGAAGGCTGGACATTCATAAGTAAGAATAAGTCTCTGTGTATTTATTTGGGAGCTGGGTGGCAGGCCCCCAAAGAGTAAAGACTAAAATGAAATACCAACTCTAGGGTCTTTGTTATTCAGAGGGCCATCTTCTCTGCCACGGTAGAGAAGATAATAGTGACTGAGGAGACAAAAATGGTCAAGCAGGCAGGGACTTTGAAAACAAACAGTTTTGGCTCTTACTTTTGGTCAAGAATGCCACAAATGTTCTCACTAGAGATTCTGATTCATGTCTACCTCAGATACTATTCTGGCCATAAGTGAGACATGCCAGAAATATTCTTGCCAGAAACCCCAATTCAGTCACTGGATGTCAGGACTCATACACACCTCATGGATGGGCCAGCTGGACTGACCTGTTGTTTTGGGTGGTTTGAAGGAACTCCCTGCCATAGGCTATCTAGTTCCCAGTTGGCAACACTGCTTCCGGAAGTGGTGTGGGTTTTCTGAGGAGACATGTCTCTGGTAGTGGCCTTCGAGAGTTCATAGTCTGGTTCACTCTCTCTGCTTTATGCTTGCAGTTGAAGATGTCGGGCTCTTGGCTTCCTGCTGCATGTCTGTCACTGGCTGCCATTTTTTCCTGCCATGATTGACTCTTATCTCCCTGGAGACATAAGCCAAAAATAACTCATAGGTTGCATCTGGTCATGATATTTTATCATAGCAGCAGAAAAAATAACTATGTAACTTATAATGTAGCTATATAACTTATGATAAAATAGGAATACTAAACAGGAATGTAGGAAATCTATTACTGGTCAGTCTTGGACATTTTTAGAAATTTTTCCTTTTATTTCTTTTTATTATTTTTAGCAGAAGACAAAGTGATAGGAAGATATACTTGAATGCTGTGATATGAGTGAATGCTAATTACCCATGAGTGAGGTTTTCATTTACTTTACAAAAATAACTGTGTTGGGTTTTATAAAATATGAAAAAATATGGATTAAAATATGCAATTTGGAAGTTTTCTTGAGCTTTCACTGCATTTCACTTTATTCCCTTCCACTCCATATCTTAAATAGTTTTTAAAGATCTGCAAATCAAAATCTAACACTGGTATTTCTAACAAACTCATAGAGTGGTGTGAATAGCGTTCTTTATTGTTCATATAGCAATAGAAGTCACTTGATTATACTTATTAACAGTCTCAACTACCTTTTATCAGATGCAATGTCTAATCTGGAAAGGGCTTAAATTGGGTGAGTGTTAATGATGGTGAATGGTGTTCTGAAAATGAGCTAATTCCACCCTGGGTGAGTATGGTTGTGAGTATATGTAATACAGAAGAGCCTCAACATAAAAGCTCTCTAGTTCAGAAATGAAAGCACTCATTCTTCTAACTAGTTTTTGGTTTAAAAATACTTAACCTTGGAAACACCACCTGCATCCGTTAACAGCCTGTCATGTCTGCAAAGCCTTCCTTGTTTTCATGTGGTACCTGCTCTCTTTAAACACACATATGTTCATCTGTTACTCAGTTATTGGTGGCTGTGTTGAGATTGTTTGCTCTTGTATGTTTATCTTTGGGCTTTGCATCATGTAGTAAGCCCTGTATTTGTTTCACAGATATTTGCTTCATTAGCAAATGATGCATTTGGAGAACAAGCTTTTAATTTTTGTTTTCTTTTTTCAACTAGAAATACAACTCCACATTGATAAGTTATTTTAGTGTTTTCTTTTTCACATTTTTCTCATCTATTTTGCTTAATGACAGCATAGGAAGAATATTTTCGTATCATCTCATTTCTCAAACATTGGAAGCCGAGATTCAACCTAACTTGTGGGAAATGTCAGGATGATGGCTGAATTCAGGTGTAAATTCAGATTTTCTTGGTCCAAGCTCAGAAGAGTACTTTACTGCATCAGTGTTTGCAGAGGAAACATCTGTGCCCTTTTCCTGGGTTTACAACACCAAGAGGAAGGAGAACAAAGAATTATGCATTGCTTTTTCAGACTCGAAAAAGTGGTTTCCCTTCACTAAGGACTGATTTCCAGATTTGTCCCTCCCACATTTCCTTCCTATTCTCCTGCAAGAGTCTAGCCCTTTTGTTTTCACTGTTGCAGATACCCTGAGACCCTAGTCTCACTTGTTCACAGGCTCATGCAACGAATAAGGAACCCTAGCCTTATGGGAGCATCTCCAGTGTCACTGCAGGGATCGGCTGTTTCATTGTGAAGCTGCCAAACCTAACTTGCTTGCAAAAAAAAAAAAAAAAAAAAAAGATTCCTGCTGGCTGTCACCACTGCCAATACTGGGATCCAATGTTCATATTGAGGCTCTCTCTCTCTACTTGGGTTAACATTGCCTCTGTTTCCTTGTTTTTCTAGCAGCATTCCCATGGCTCAACTTCGTGTCTTATCACCAAGTTTGGGAACTGTGGGCTTTGCCCCTAAGTCATGTGCCAAGTCTGGTTGTGACAGGAAAGTCCACAAAAGAACAGCCTATTAGACAAAGTGGAAACTGGAGGAAGAATCTTAGAGGGAAGTAGAGTTAAGAGTCAAGAAGTTCAAAGAAAGAGTCCCTTCAAAGGTCAGGGGGGTGAGTTAGAGGACAGCTCTGGAGACCCAGGTTAGGAGAGCAAGGCAAGTCTGAGTGCCCACACAGATCATGCAAGAGTCCCTACACCACCCAGGCAGACCTGAGACAGCTTCCCCTATTTTGTCTATAAGTATGGAAACTCTATTTCTAATTCCTTTATACTTTACTGAAGAATCTCAATTTCAACTTCATCCTCTGGGGATAATGTTTTTAAATTTTCAAACCAGGTGCTTGGTGGTGGTACATATCTTTAATCCCAGCACTCAGAAAGCAGAGGCAGGTAAATCTCTGTGGGTTCAAGACCAGCCTGGTCTATGGAGCAAGTTCCAGGACAGGCTCCAAAGCTACGCAGAGAAACAGTGTCTCGAAAAACAAAACAAAAATTCAAACCAGGCTGGATACTTCACTGAGAATTTTGAGGAAAATTACTCAGAGCTCAGTTAAAAGATGTTTGGGACCACTGAGCAGTACCACCAAAACTTTTGAAAATACTAATTAATATCTACCACACACCGATATCCCAATGGTTAGAGGCACTTCCCTTCTTTGCTGGCAATCCTGTTCCCTACTATGTAGTGTAGATTCTAAAAGTTCTTATTCTTATTTAACCATTTAACTTTATTTACTTCCCTTTACCTTACAGGCATCTGAAATTGATATCAGCTGGTATCAGAGTTTGATGCTCCCCCCAAGGGATATCATAGATTTTGTTAACTTGATACAAACCTAGGCATACCTTGGAAGAGTCTCCCTGGTGGAATTGCCACTATCAGATTAGCCTGTGGGAGTGTATGTGGGGGCATTTTCTTGATTGCAAATTGATATAGGAAGGCCTGGTCCCTTGAGAGGGGTGCCATTCCTGGGTAGGTGGTTATGGGCTATAGAAGAAAGATAGCAGAGCAAGCCAATACGCAACACTCCCCAGTGCTCTCTGCTTCAAGCTCCTTCCTGCAGTTCCTGCCTGGGCTTGCCTTGGCTTAAAGTATAAGATTAAATAAACCCTCCCCACAAGTTACTTTTGATCAACATTTCATCACAGCAAGCAAAAAGCAAACTAGGATGAGAGGTTTCATATTCTTGTGTCGCCATATGAGAAATAGAGTGGACACCGTTTTCTAACAGGACGACAGGCAGTTTATTTAGAAGATACATTGAAGAGAGGAAGTGGCCAAGGAAGAGAGAAGGTTTAGCAGCTTCAAGTCCCCACTGCACAGAGAGTGGAGAGCTTTGTGTTATTGTGGATCTGTGGACTCATTTGGGTAGTGAAGGCTTTGGGATGCATTTGCATAGCATCAGCTTTTTAAAAGCATCCTCTCTGGGTAACATGTAGTTCTATATACAACTACATACTGCATGTCTCATTAGCTTCTTAAATCCCTCAGTGTTACAATGAGCCATAAGTCAAACACTGGTATCTCTGTGCTGTAGCCTGTGGTTGGTTTGGGCTGGGTAGGGAATTCCAGCCTTCCTCTTTTACCAGCTTGTTTCCTTTTCTTTTTCTTTTCATATGCCAATTTTGTAAGACTTTGGACTTGACTGCCCAGATCCCATTCTATGAGCTATTCTGCCTCCACCATGAAAGAAAACAGAAACATCTCAAGGACTATTAACAGGCTTTGCTTGGCCTTCAGTTACAGCTTTTTGTGTATTCACTGGACATAGTTATTTTATCAAGAGACAAAAATTAAGATCAAGACCATTAAGTATATAAAATTTTATAAATTATAGATGTGAAATATATTCTTGGTAAATATGTTTAAAGAGAAAAAGAGACATGTTAAATGAAACAGGATTTGGAATGTCAGTGTATTTCTATATTAGAGGGTTGTTCCAAAATGGAAATAGAAATAAGTAGAGATAAAACTGAAAAACGTAAGCCCATCAGAGAAGGTCTGAGTCACAAACAGGTTCATAAAAGACAAAATTTTATAAGGGGGCATATAGTTGATTAAATTTCTGATAAAGAAAGGCTAGTACATTTTTTCTTAGTGTCACATAAAAAAAAAAGCAAAGGCAGATTTATTTAGCGGAGCCACCCTGGGTGGAAGACAAAATAAGGTGGCTCCCTGCACTCAAGTCCATCTTTTCCTAGGGTTGGTTTTCACTGGATACTTATTTCATCTATTCATCTACTCCAGACATTAGGAAGAAGCTGTAAGAGGAGGCAATGGGACCCCAGGCACTCCAGTTTACCTTTTAAATTTTGAGATTGTTGAGGTTTTCAAGAACAGAAATAAAATAGAGACAACCCCAAAGGCCCAGGAGAAATTATGATAAGTAAAGGGACAAGCTCAAGTGACAGCCTTAGCCCCAGGGACAGTTCATTTCCCCTGACACAGAAGTACTTGCTACCACAGACAAACTCCCTGGAGAGCAGGATCCAATGGGTGACGCTTCCCATAACTGTGGAAACACAGGGCACTACTCTCAGTGGAATTGTAAAATGTAAGAGATGATAGTCTACCCTCCAAGGGTGGATGGACCATCAACTCCAATAATTTTGTCACTCAGGTGACTGCAGATAACCACTGAGGTGCCTTGGAGAACTCTTGACACAACATGTGAAAATATTATTTCTAATACAGGGGTTTTGTTTTTCTGCTTTATTGACACCTCAGTATGTATTACTAAGTGAACTTCTATAGTGACAAGTGTGGTAGACTTTTCCAAAAGTCAAAGGAGTTTTGGTCAGCCCCAGCTTTGGAACTGCCCTCATCTAAAAGTTAGGGTACATTCTTGAACCCACAACTTACTTGCCCATCTACTCTAACACATAAATAACTAGGACACTTATTACCTATGATAGCTGTGGCAGCTATGACAATATTGTAGATGAAATTGCAAACTTATTTGGCTACCTCTTTTCCATAATTAAAGATAAACCCATTTACACAGAAGGAGAGAAGGAATGGGGCCACCCAAAGAGTTTAGAATAACCAAAATGCCCAGTAGATTCAAGAGGAAGTGCCGTGGTCTGGCCTGTATCAGTCCTACGCTACAGGGTTCATCTATCGTGGACTTATGTCTTTGAGGCTGTGTTCAGAACGAGCTGAACAGCCCCG